GGAGACTTTATGGAGTAAGGCCAACATGAGAAGCAGAGAGGGAAGCCAAGTCAGTCATGAAAGTCCCAGCCAAAGCCCACCTCAGACTGATCCCGAGGACAGTCTTGGACATTCCACCTGGAGTCAATGAAAGAAAGGACAAAGAGGACCTCACAAGCCAGTGAGGTCAGTGGTTCTCAACCTGTGGGTCACAACTCCTTTGGCAAACCTGTATCTCCAAAAATATTTACATTACAATTCATAACAGTAGCAAAGCAAAAGTTATGAAGTGACAAAATAATTGTATGATTGGAGGTCTCCGCGACATGAGAAACTATATTAAAGGGTGGCAGCATTAGGGAGCTTGAGAACCACTTAAGACAGGAGCAGCTGTGAGCTAGAGCCCAACCGTTACCACAGCTGCTCCAGCCTGCAGTGACAGCCTGTGCATCACCAAGAGCAGCTAGGACACAGAGGACTTGCTGATTTGAGAATCACTCCAGTCCTCAGCATATGTCCCTCACAGGTGTGAAGACATTTCTTGTTGCAAGTTTCAAGCAGATCTTCCAAAGTCCACTGGGAAGCTCAGCTGGGATAAGCAAGCAGAACTTTAGCCCCGGTTCTCATCCTTTCTGTTTATTTTCCCTATTGGATTCCACTGAGAAAACCCATGTGAGAGCCTTGATGGCAGCACAGAGTCCTTGTCTGTCTTGCCCACTGAGAAGCCCCACACACAGGGGACAAAGAGCAAACCCTCAATCACTTTGAAAAACATGAATGAAAACATTTTAACCCTCAACACAACCTAGTCACAGAGACAGAACAATTGTTCTCTCTCACTCTTGAATTGAAAGAAACTTAATATCAGAGATGTGACAGGCTCCTGTGGGTCACCTGTACTGACCTGAGTTGACTGTCTTTGCTATCTTGAAACTAAATGTGCCTTGGCTTAGGGTCACACTTTTCCACCCTCCTATAGCAAAATAAATATGCAAATATCAGAAATACCTTAGAAAAGTAGAGTCATTTATTCATTAGACAATCAACCCACCTTGTGTTTGTTAACATTGTACAAAATGAAAAGAGAGACCTCTCACCATGGGACAGGCCACCTTCGCTGGGTCCGGCCCACAGGCACTCGAACCCCGCTTAACCACAAGACAACCTGCCTCATATCTTGCCTACCACCCCTCTTCCCCCGGGTTCCCAAGTATTTAAGACCCAGACTCTTACACTCAAAATGCCCCCATATCCAGTGAGTCAGGATGAACCCTCCCCCAAGTTTGGCATAAGTTTCTGTTTCCTCTTAGGAGTCACCCTTCCTCTTCCTCAGACCTCAGAGGAGGAAGCGCCACCCTGAGATCACATTCTGGCCCTGGGATGAAAACAGGAAACTGATAAGCTCGGATCTCAGTCTTCTATGGGTTCATAAACCAGGAAAAGTTACTGCGGTGAACAGGCTAATCTAACTAATAACTAGTCCTGTGAAGTACCTAACAAGCGTTACACTTCAATAACATTTAAAAACTGAGAGACCTGCGCTACTGGCCTTGTGTACAACGTAGAAAGCAACTGAGAGAGGAAGAAAACCTGAAGCCTTACCAGTAGGATGCTCATTTAGAGCTAATTGCCCCCAACAAGAAGCCCATTGTTAAAGGGGAGAGATGAGTTCACCGGCAGTTATGTGGTGCTACATAGCACTTGTGCAGACAAAAGCTCCCTTTGAGCCTCTGGGGTAGACAAATTAGGACCTAAGTTCTCTCCTAAGGGGAAAGGGTGTTGAGATTTAAGTGCTTGGAAGATTAAGAGAGGAGGGCTGAATCCACCAGACCTACGTAATAAATACAGTGTCTCAAAAGGAAAGAGAGAGAAGAAAAATGAGGGTTGCTTTTGTTTGTTTGTTTGTTTGTTTTTGTTCTTTGTTGTTTTCATTTTGGTGTTAACTTTTCCAAATAGGGTTTCCCTGGCTGTCCTAGAACTCACTTTGTAGACCAGACTGACCTCAAACTCACAAAGATCCGCCTGCCTCTGCCTCCCAAGTGCTGGAATTAAAGGCTTGGCCACCACCCCCTGGCAAGAGTGTTGCACTTTAATAGGCAAAAATTCTATAAGCAAACGGTGGAAGAGAAAACAGGAAAATCTGAAGCCTATCATTGCTGGTACCACAGAGGAAAGAACATTCAATATACAAGCCAGGCTGGCAGAGGGAGGGAGTCTGAATGCCAGGGCTTAACTCATCGCATTGTTCCTTCCCAAAGCTAGTGGAGACACACCAAGCAGAGGCACAAGCAAGATGAGAAAGAGCTCATTTAGAAGCAGGTGTTCATAAGTGCATCTTCCAGGTCATTTAGACCGAATAGGCAGTTAGCAACCCCACCTGCACAATGAATCTGATCATAGCTTGTGTTTTAATTCCTAGCAAATAAAGCACAGTTACACTAAGCAGCTTGGAGTGGCAATTGGAGAACTTGAGTGTCAACACTGAATCTGCTTCTACCAGATGAATGGCCACTGACCTAAGTTCTCTGAGCAACAATTTTCTCAGTAGCGAACAGATTGGTAACAGCTCACTAATAGCCTACTAAAAAATACATTAAGTTAGACAGCCCACTCAAGACTATCACTTAAATGGCTAAACTGGAGAGATGGTTCAGCTCTTGTTGCTCTTGCAGAGACTGAGTTTGGTTCCCAGCCCCCACATGGCAGCATACAGCTGTCCATGACTCCAGTTTCAGAGAACCCAGTGCCCTCTTCTGACCTCCACAGGTACTGGGCACCCACTCAGTGCACTTACATACACGCAGGCAAAGCACTCATACACATAAACATTTAAACTGGAAAAGATATACAACAAGCCGTGGTCTTTATTGTTGCCTGGACACTTAACTTGGCATTATACGGATATGGGATACTGGTTTTAGGTAAAAGTTCTACTAGGTGTCAGCAGGGGTAAAAGAGCTGTATAGATGGATACAGAAAACTTTGGTGTAGAAAAGTCCAGTGCACTGGGCTAGGGAAGTCAGGCATCAAAGCTCAGGGTACTGGGAAGAATAAGTTCCCTGTAACAAGATGGCAGAAGAATCTGGCCCACACCGGCCAGGACAGGAATCCGCTTGGGCGGAAGTCAAGGACCCATGTTGCAGGACATTTGATCTCACTGTGTGAAGATGTGTTGCTGTTTTACCTCACCTGCCTAAGGCACCCGATTGGTTTAGTAAAGAGCTGAATGGTCAATAGCTAGGAACGAAGAAGTACTTCTGGGGATAAAAGGGACTCTGGCAAAAAATAAAGGAGATATGCCGTAGAGACATGGAATGAAACAGACACACAGAATGGGAGAGAGGTAAAAGCCAAGAATGGGAGAGAGGTAAAAGCCACGTGGTAAAACGTAGATTTAAAAACATAGGCTAATTTAAGTTATAAGAGCGTAAGCTAAGGCCAAGCTTTCGTAATTAATAATAAGCCTCTGTGTCATTATTTGGGAGCTGGCTGGCAGGACAGAGACAGACTCATTACAGGCCCATCCTTTGCTTTCTCCACCACTACATCGTACCCCAAACACTGGAGACTATCATATGAGCGGAACAGGCTTCGGGAACCTCAGTGGCAAAAAGGAAGAGTAAGAAATGGAGAGAGAGTGGAATGAAGAGACGGATTTGCAGAAGGAGTTCAGAACAAAGAAAAAAGTACAGGAGGGTAAAATAGCTCATACTTGGATAGCTTGACTCAAGTCTGCACTGGCCCACAGCTTGTGCCCGGCACATACCACTCATCTGCATATGCAGTTGGACAGAGCCCTGTTAAGCCTTCAAGGATGCTGGGAAGCCTGATCATTCTTTCTTCAATGAATTAGTCTTCCCTTGGAGCAGGAGCTGATGGGCTCAATCCTTCCCTTTCTCCTTCATTTAGAATCAGGGCATACTAAAGACTTGGCTTAGAAGGGGTCTTAGATGTAACCAAATCTTTCCTGGTAGGGTAAACACGGGAACTTAAAAACGTCCTAAGTGATGACGCAGCCTGAGGTTGGACATTTTATTCCTCTCCAATACGCTGCATATGGATACTTGTTCTGAAGTTTCTGGAGGAAGATGACCAATTTTGCAATGTCCCGGGCTTTCCTGAACACGAAGCGAGGTAGCATGTAACATTGCTCATGCAATCTGTCAACACTACAGGTACTTGGTCCTGATTCCTAATGTCACTGATTAAGCTGCGGCCAGCCACTGAATTTCAGATGACTGAAGAGAGCTGAAAGATGTCAGGCACCCCGAGAAAGCACACACTTCCATGGAGGAAAAGGGGGAGACTGCCTAGCTTGTTTCCTAGATAATTTCCAAGACTAGCTAAACTCAAAATTATGTGGGGGCTATTGGAGGCCAGAGGAAAGCAGTGAGAACCCTCCTGACTGTTTTATTGAATTCCATTCCAAGCCTTTGACCTTCTACCCACAAAAGCGTTCAGGGCTAGAAGAAAGAGCACAGAAAGTGATAAGCACCACGAGGAAAGGCTTTGTCCTTGGAATGAAAACAGGATCCTCGTGACACTGGTGAGCACACGGCACAGCCTACTGACTCCAGACACTTAAAAGGAAAGCAAGTAAAGAAAGGTAACCCTAAAAAGTCAGCAGCAGATTTCAGCAAATGCCCATTTTTCCACAGCCACAAAGTTAAGCTGAGCAAAAGCTATAGGTGATCTGCGCTCCAGTGGCAGCCTTTTCCTGGAATTCCAGCTTCGACTTTGTTGACCAACATACAGAGTCACACATGTTTTGAGTTATTGTAACCCTAAAGTTAACTATCCAAAGCACAAAAATAAAATCCTCTCAAGTAGTGGTAGAGCATGCCTTTAATCCCAGCACTGGTGACAGAGGCAGGTGCATCTCTGTGAGTTCAAGGCCAGCCTGGTCTACAAAGCAAATTCTAGGACAGCTAGGGATGTTACACAGAGAAACCCTGTCTTGAGAAACATTAAAATAAATCCTTCTCGTTTGAATAATTCATGGAGAGAAGCAAGGACGTGAGTAGACTTCCTTTTTTTATATATCCATTCTTCTTTAAGGACTAAAGGCAACTATTTAAAACCTGGGGTGCCGATTCTAGCAAAAGATTTACATTCCGCTCTTTCAGTGAAAATGAAGAGAAGATGACCCACATTTTTTTGGATAATCCACACCTTAAAACATTAGATTGCGGAAAAGAGGGAGCAATCTGTAGACATGTGCTTCAATCTGGAGACTTGTTCTTGAGTTAAGTGTCCAGCCCTCAAGTACAAAGCAGGCTGAAAGGATCACTCAGAGACCACGATTTCTTCAATTTCCTTCTCTGGGGATGCTTATACATGCGGCATAGTAGAGGGTGCACATATGCAGGGCTGCGGGAGATGTTAGTGTGGATGATGTTTCCACTGTGTCCCTAAAAGTTCCTGTCCCCCAACTTCATACACGGTGATATTTTGAAGTAGGACTTCTTGGGAGGTAATGAGGCTTAGAAGTCATGAAGGTAATGATATGTAAAATGGAGACGGAACCCTGAGCTCACAGATTCTTCCTTTTTCTAATGCACTCTTTCTTGAACTTCTACCATCTTCTAAGTGTCACATTCTTGAGAACATGTGTTCAGTTCCCAGATAGTCAATCAAGCAATAATCCAATGTCATATATTTTGTTGTAGAGAGACAGTAGACTAAAACGCATTGAGATCTTCAGAACTCAACCAGTCCTGGAAGGCAGTGGGGAACCCGCAGAGATGTTGCTTTGAACTTCTGTTACAAAGTTTCCAAAGTGTGTCTGAAAGGTAGTGTTTTGTTAGCATCTGTTATGTGGTGCTCTGAGCCTGCTCCCTAAAATGAAAAAACAAAAAGGGTTTTTATGTAATCCCAAAGTATGAGACTCTTTTCTGAGTGTTAACGATTTAATTTACTAGGATGATCACTAAATAATCCTTAAAAACTCAAGTGGTGTATTTTCCATTCCCTTAGAATCAGACCTTATGATACATGTTTGGTATAAGTAGTTTATGAAGTATCTCTAGGACCAAGGATAATTCAAAGGTTGAGGGTGCTTGCTATGCTACCAAGACAAACAATACAGTACCCAGGATCCTCAGGGTAGAAGGATAAAACAATTACCTTTGTTCTAGTTGTTGTGTTTTTGTTTGTTTTTTCTGTTTCTAACTCTATCATGAGTTTTCATATGAGATGGTGGGTAAGAACATTATATATATATTGAAAGGATAAGATCCAATGTGAAGCTCCACAGTTTTAGAATGACTGTTATAATTATACAAAAGTTCATTGAGATGTATAGTTGAATCTGGTTAATTTCTGTGAGTGATTTTTTATTCACCAGTTTTTTATAATAAAGTTTATAAAATTAAATTAAAGGGGAGAGAACGGGTTCCAAAAATATCCTCTGACCTCCACATGTTCATCCATATCATACACACTCACATATACTAGATAAAGAAATCATAATATTAATATTTTATTCTTTTTTATTTTTGCATGCAAAATACAAGTGTTGCCTGCGTGCACATCTGGGAATGTCTGGTTTCCTTGGAGACAAGAAGAGGGATCAGATCCCCCATGGAACTAAAGTAGTTTTCAACTATTGGGGACATGTGTCAAAGGAACTGATGCTTGTGGGACCCAGAGTTCCAGCAAGAATTATTTGTTAGAAGAATGAACCAACTTTTGCTTCCTGCTTTATGACGCCATCTCTCTTCTTCTCACATGTGCTCCCACTGTGGCACCATCTAGCATGATGGCGACACATGCAGCCAAGGAGTCCTGAACAAGAACTGGCCCTTTGCCAATTGGTCATTGAGCCTTCTAGACTGTGAGCTAGCCAAGCCTCTTCCCTTTGTAAGAGCTCTGTACTCCTTTTTGTTACAGTAATGAATGATGATCCAATATTAAAGTACTCGGGAGGATATATGTAGAGTACATGCAAAGGCTTCATTTAATAAAGAACTTGAGCATCTGCAGATTTAGTTTTTATAATGTTTATTTTTAATTTATGTATATGGGCGTTATGCCTGCGTGTATGTATACCAGGTACATGGCTAGTACCTGTGGAAACAAGAAGGGGGCACTGGATCTCCTAGAACTGGAGTTACAGAGGATTGAGCTGCCATGTGGGTTTTAGGAACCAAACCTGGGTCCTCTGGAAGAGCAACCCGTTCTCCTGAGCCATCTCTCCAGTCCCACATCTGCAGATTTTGTCACCTGTGGGATAAAAACTAACCTCCTCCCCAGGTTCTGAGAAGTAACTCTACCCTGGTAGCATTCAATTCAGGATGTGGCTAGGACTACTTCTGAGTTACACATACAAAAACCATGGAAGCGCTTGAAATATTAGAGATGGCCAAGAACAGAATGCAGAAAGGCAAAAAAATAGGAACAATTTGAGTCAAGCCTGTTTGTCATAATTGATTAAAATCAGAAGAGATGTAAAAAAAAAATGAGTAATGGCCTCAGGTACATTGCCAGAAAGAACCATCCATATACCTTTATCCTTGTATTGATGCTAGTGTAATAAATTCATCAAGTTTTCTTAGGGAATAAAGAATATTCCTTTGGCCAGGATATGATTTTATTTGCATTAATCATCCAGTTTCTCAATAATTACATTTATGATTTTTGGGGGGTTGTGTTATTTTGTTTTTTCAAGACAGGCTTTTTCTGTGTTGCCCTGGCACTTCTGGAAGTCACTATGTAGACCAGGCTGGTCTCAAACTCATAGATCCACCTGCCTCTGCCTCCCAAGAGCTAGGATTAAAAACATGTGTCACCACACCTGGATTTACTTTTAGTTTTTTTAAACATGTTTTCTTGCTTTTAGGTATTATCTTTACTTGTTGCAGAAATTTCTTTTACATACTACAACATAATAAAGGTTTTCACAGGGGCTGAAGAGATAGCTTGGCAGTTAAGAGCACTTCCTGCTCTTGCAGAGGACCTGGGTTAGAGTTCCAGCACCTATATCTGGGGTTCACATACAGAGAAGCAGGTACACACATGTACACATGCATATTCACATACACATAAAATGAATACATTGTAATAGGCTTTAATAAATGTATACTCTTTAGAGAAAAATTCAATACCAGAAACATAAGAAAACATTGACAAAACTAAGTTCATGACAGTATTACTTAAGCTCTTGTGGGTGAGGTGGGTGTGGTATGTGTGTTTGGGTGTGGTGTGTATGTATGGATATGAGTACACTCGTCTGTGCTTGTATGTGGGGCCCAGAGGTCAACTTCTGGTATCTTTCTCTATCAGCTGTCACTGAACTTGGAACTCACTGTTTTGTCTAGACTGGCTGGCCAGCAAGCCCCTGGAGATTATTCTTTCCACTCCTCCCAGCACTGGGATCAGAGGCCTGAGCCTCCACACCCAGGTCCTCAGGCTTGCTTGGCAAATACTTTACTCACTGAACCATCTTCTCAGCCCTTACTTAAACTCTGAGCAACTTGTAAGCAGCTTAATTGCCTGACGATAAAGAAAGGGTGTTTGCGGTGAGCAGTTTCCAAGATGGCGCCCAAGCCCCGTCTCCGGTCATAGCCACACCCTGTGCAGTCCCTTCCCACATGTGTCCGGTGGGTGACCAAGGAAAGAAGGCAGAAGAAATACCCTCACCGCTGAGGTACAGAATTAGCATAGGTCCCCATCAATAGATGAACAGATAAAGAAACATAGTGTGTATATACTGGATAGAGTGTCTGTTTGGTCACAAAGAAAAACATAATCACATTGTTTCCAGGAAAACAAATAGAAACAGAGGTCACTCGGCTCAGTGAAATAAACCAGACACCAAAAGACAAATGCTACATTGCCTCCCTTATACACAATTTAGATTTTTTTTTAAAAATCCATGAAAGTAAAAGGGGACTATAAGGGAGAAACAAGAAAAGTTCCTGGGGTGAATATAATCAAAGTATGTTTATGCATATATGAAATTGTCATTATTTCATATTATTAGTATGTGTTATGTTTATAAAAGAATACTCCAACGTTGGTAAAAAGAAGCTTTTTCCCCAGTGTGCAGAGGTTAATGAAGAAACACATAACTGGTCTGAGAGTAAGTGGCTGTGAGTACTTACACTTAGATGGGACATCACCATGCAGCTGATTGCAACCTCATGTCAAGTCCTGGGCCAGAATAGCCAGCAAAACCCTGTGAGATTCCTCACACAAAAACACTCACTGCACGATGCATGTTTTTGTTAATGTAGGCTGCTGATTGGGGGATAACTGTTTACACAATAGTAAGTAACCAATAGTGTTCCCATGAAGTAGAGTATTATTTAGTAGTAAGATACCAGATTTTTAAGCTACATGTGGCAGTACGTGCCTCTAATCTTAGGACTTAAGAGACTGAAGCAGACAGATCATAGGTTCGAGGCTAACCCAGGCACACAGAGGTGTGGATTAGCCTGGGTAGCATAGAAAGATCCAGAATGGAGGGCGGGGGTGAGTTTCTCAAAGACTATGTGAGGACATGAAAAAGTGGCGAGCATAAAATATTGAGTGAAAATATCAAGAACTGAAACTATGGGGTATTATTGCATATTTGTTGTTTCCTTCAGATCAGCAAATGTCTTTCCTTCCCCCTCTTTCTTCTGCCAGTTGAACTTCCCCTTCTGGTATTAAAACTATGATGCTACATCTTCACTGTCTCACCTAGACTCACCTAGAACACGCCTCTCAGAGTATGCCTGTGAGGGTGTTTTCAGAGAACTTTGTTTAGCTAGGGGAGGAAGACCCATCCTGAAAGTGGGTACACCATGGGTTGAGGTCCAAGACTGAATAAAAATGGACAAAGAATAAAGGATATGAGTGGGCAAGTGTCCATCGCTCTCTGCTGTCTGTCCTCAGATGTGCCAGCCACCTCTCCAACCCTTCCCTGCTAAGGTGAATGACTTGGAACACGAGCCACAATAAGCCCTTCTTTTCTTAAGGTGTTTTATCAATGTGTTGTCACAACAAGAGAAATAATACAGAAACTCCCTTGCATGTTTCAAGAAGAGCTGCCTCCAACCCATTTAAATCAAGGAGGGGAATTAGATCCAGTGAAGGTACATCAGGAAAGGCAGACAAACAAGAGGAGTGCTGACAAGGGAGGCAGTAGCCTAATTTATCAAATAAAATTAAAAGTGATGAAGGGATCAGACACCCTGATGCAGTAGTTATCAGAGCATGGCCAACCTTAGAATTGCCAGTTTGGAGGAAGGGGATGAGAGGAGAGGAGGAAGAGGAAACTGTAGTTGATAGGTAAAATAATTTTTGAATTTTAACAAAAAATAAAATGTTAATAAAAAGGAAAAAAGAATTGTCATTTTTGAGTCGGCACCCTCTTTTTGCTCGTATTAATCAGGGTTGGGTTCCTGTCGTCACAAATGGTACACAGTGCAATATGTGATGGTATCTCAGATTGGCATCAGAGTAAGTAGACATTTATTTTAGAGAGCATGGTCACATCTGTGAAATGGCAGCAGTGACTCCACATAGACCTGTCATTTCAGATTAGTAAACTTGCTGTATCAGAATTCTTTAATTCTTTAACTCTGGCCTTCAACAATTTAGAGTATGCATCCCAATGACCCCCTCCCCTGCACCTCTCTTGACCTCCCTCCCCCTCCCCTGCACCTCTCTTGACCTCCCTCCCCCTCCCCTGCACCTCTCTTGACCTCCCCCCACCCTACCAGTTCCCCACTCCCTACACATCCCTTCCCACACCCCTGTCTCTTTATTTTGTTTTGTGAGCCACTGAGTTTAATCGGGTCTATCTCTGAGACCGTCGGTTTGGAACTGTCCACTGGAGCCTAGCAGGTTCATCAGTGTGGATGCAACTGATAGATCAATATAGCAGGAGTCAATTGCTCAGCAGAGATGGGCCCCTTCCCTGTCTGAGACTGATGGTTGACAATGCCAGTCTTGTGCTGACCCGGTACAAGTAAATGACCACAGCAGCTCTGAGCTTGTGCATGCGATGGCTGTGTCACACCAGAAGATGGTATTCTGCAGGAATTTTTAAAACACTGGCTCTTAGCTCTCAGAATTGGAAGCTTTGAGCACTGGAGAGATGGCTTAATGGCCAAGAGCCTTTGCAGAAGACCTGGGTTTGGTTCCCAGCACCCACTTGCTGGCTCACTGCTGTCTGCAACTCCAGTTTCAGAGGCTCTGGTGCCTTCTACTGACCTCTAAAGCACCAGGCATGCATGTAGTGTACATATATGCATGCAGGCAAAGCACTCATACATATTAAATAAATAAATCTAAAATAAAAAAACAAGAATCAGAAACTTAGGCCCAGTACTTCTGTTTTGCAGAGTAAATCTTTTATTGAGTACCTGGCAACTTTTAATGATATATAAAATTATTCTGTGTGTGTGTGTGTGTGTGTGTGTGTGTGTGTGTGTGTGTACATGTTCATGTAGGCATTAACATGTGGGGGGAAGTGTCTACATATGTGTGCATGTATGTGAGGATGCCAAGGGCAGCGTCTGATGTCCTTGCTATCCAGCTTATTATTTTAGACAAGGTCTCTCTCTGAACCTGGAGCTCTCCTGACTGACCAATGAGCTTCAAGGATCCAGCTGGCCCCACCCCCAGTGCTGTGACCACAGACATGCGCTGCCGCAGCCAGTTTTCTTTTTTCTTATTTGGTGGGGTTGGAGTGGAACACAAGATCTCAAGTTTGCTACGCTAGCACACTTCCACTGAGCTATACACCCCGGACTCACCACCAGTTTTCAACGTGTGTTCTGAAGATTTGAACTCAGGTCTTCATGCCGCATCTCTTCAGCTGTGTTACCATTTCAGCTACCAACACATCCAGAATCCCCATGCAGAAGACTTTAGTAACAAATAGATTTGATTGCCTTTCCTTGCGAGCTTCCCTTCTCGTTCTCGGTCCTTGTGCTATAAGGTTCATAGTATTAGGTTCACGCTATCACTTTCAGATTACAAGCTTTAAGCTCAAACTTTGATCTGAGATTTCAATCTCGATGAATTTAAAGCCCTGATGGTTTAGTGGATCAGTCTTAATAAAATACAGATGTGTATTCACGGTAGTAAGAAGCGTTTTTTTCCCATCTTTGATAAAGAATATAGCTCAGCAATTATGGAAAAACACAGAGGAAAAGGTAGAGAACGCAGCTCTCATGACCCGAGTCTCCCCAAAGTGAGAGTCACTGTGGGTCAGAAAAGGAGATTTGAACCCTCATATTCAGACTCCCACATCCTGCTAGTGCCAAAACACATCACTAACAAATATTTCTAAAGAAAGAAAAGTATTTGATTTGGTTAGATCACTCTGGATAAAACAAAAGGCCTCTTGATTCTATTTTTTAAAAGAAAAACAACCCCACCAGCCACTTTGGAGACAATTTTGGAGCTCTAAAGTAATAAGTACTGAGTAATTTATATCAAATCTCTGGGCTGCGTCTGATTCTTTCACCATGTAAATTTAACCTTGGCCACAATATTGAGTGATGAGTGGTAGAGAATATTTACTTCATTCAGTCTATCTAAGCCACCCATGTCTGACATTAACCTCTGATTTTATACATCTTTATTTTCTATTCACAACTGAAAGCTATACCATGTCTGTGCTATCAGGCAAATGAATGACAAGCTTGCACTTTGGAATTTCCCTACAAAGAAACTGCATTTTACAAAGGGCATCTATACAGGCTGATTGACAGATTAGGAAAGGGTGAAACATTGCAGGTCCTGAGCCTAATTACAGTTTACCTTAGGCTACCTTTGAACCCCTGAGCAGCCTTTCCTTATCCACCTCTGTTTCTGACCTAACATCCTTGTGACTAATCACGTGAGACCTTTTGGATTGTATTAAGTAAACAGACCACTAGCTTCTAGCTTCCACCAATCTAAACCCCAAGAATGTCATCAGGTAGCATGTGGAATCTATAGCAGGGGTCCCCACACACATATACCCCGTGCACCCCACCCCTACCCCTGCACTGTTTTAGCTGTAGCTCATCTACCTAATGTTCCCTCCAATGTATTTGAAAAGTTTTTCCTTCGTGACTTTCTTCAATCTGATATATGTATGTATGTATGTATGTATGTATGTATGTATGTATGTATCTGGGAATTTGGGGTTGCCTGAATCTGTTTCTAGGTCATGGTCACTCATATTTGGCATCAGGATAAGCTATCTTTTATGCCCTTTGAAGTAAAAACAATGGTTTTTATGTCAAGAAACAATAAGAGAATGCTTTCCTTTTTCTAAAATTTCCTTCACACTATTTAGTTTGAAAATAAAATTTTAAGCACGAGAAAGAAGCAGGATGACCTAAAGTTCTATGCCAGCCTGGGCTACATGGTGAGACCTTGTCTCAAGAGAGAGAAGGCAGACAGGCGAGTTTAAAATCATACATGGAAAATAAACTACAATACAGAAGTTATAACATGTGACATCTAAACTACCAATGGCTGCTACAGCTGTTATAGAAAATAAGGGTCACAGCACTTGTATCTTGGAACTGTTGTGTTGAAAATATTGGTTAAAAATGACAAGTGTGGACATTCTTCATCAAGGGTGACATATGATAGATGGAGGATGTGAGCTCTACTCTACATGGAGACCGACTGCCAAGTGAAGCAGCTTTGTGTAACTCACTGGGGTACTGAGCATGTCTGAGCTCAGATGGCGACAACAGAGCTGGTGAGTAGCTGAGCATTGACCATAAATCCCAGTTGTGGCAGTGAAGCCCACACTCCCCTCCTCCCCTCTGACCTGATTAATCCCTGCAAATAAAACTTACCAGACTTAATAGACACCAAGGAGAGGAGAGGAGATGCCAGCTAAGTTTCAGAAGGACCTCTAATCATTTAATTAGTTTGGAGATTGTTAAGACTGGGAGAGCACAAACTGCCCACCAATTGAGAGCCTTCATCTGGAACATTCTAACTAAAGCCTGTAGAGGCCACTGGCAATGAAATGACAAATTTGAGTTGGAGAGGCCTACCTAAGTTCTCAGTGTTGCTACAGAAGGAAGAGACACCCCACCCAGCACTTTCCTTTTCCCAGAGTACTGGCTGGTGTGACCTTGACATTCTTTCTGTGTCCTTGAAATGAGCAGACACTTAAATGTTTGGCCCTTTGTTTTATTGATTTGGAAATCAGGGGACAAACTGCAAGAGTCAGTCTTCACTCACAGCATGTGTGTCCCAGGACCAAACTCAGACCTGGTGGCAAGCACTTTTACCCACTGGGCCATCTTGCTAAATAAACAGCTAAATAATCCTTTTTGCCAATTTTTTGCTAATTTTCCAGACCCACCACAGCCTTCTCTAAATGCTAAACATCAAGGGAGACGATACTATCTTTTGTTTCCCTGGGACCTTGGGAGCCTGACTTTGGTGGATGCCTCTGTTCCAAAGTGCAAAAACCACATCTGTCACACAGATAGGAGATATTTGTTTTTCCAACGGATGAGCCCAATTGACTAAGACAGATAACCAGACCACTATCTGGGGAATCTAGGATGAGATGTTCGAGCAAATGCTGCTTCAAAATTCTCTCACTGAAGGACTATCTAGTTACTATTTACACAGAAGAAGAAGAAGAAGAAGAAGAAGAAGAAGAAGAAGAAGAAGAAGAAGAAGAAGAAGAAGAAGAAGAAGAAGAAGAAGAAGAAGAAAATGATTACAGGTTGTACCTGCTAACTACTTTAAAAGATAAGATTGTGGTCTTCTAAGAGACTGCCTGAAAAATGGATATCACATTTTGGCTTAATGCTCAGTCAACACAAGACTGTTTCTTTCCCGCAACTTTTGTGGAAAGGTTCATGTTGGCAGGTGGGGGTGCCAGCGTGCCACAGAGCTCATGTGGAGATCAGAGGACAACCTGCAGAAGTTGGTTCTCTCCTTCCGCCTTTCTGCAGGTTCCAGAGATCAACCTCAGGTCACCCGGCTTGCTGAGGCAAGCTCCTTTACCTGGTGAGTCATCTCATTGACTCAAGAGATAATTTTTAATTATTATGTTTTCCCAGGATCAGTTATGTCTGTACGCATAAGCAGAGATGACTGACCCTGCCATAGAGCTAAGCACAACACAAGTTAGAATAGAATAGAATAGAATTGAAAGAAAACAAACGCGTCAGTACAAATCTCATTGTGAGCCACGCGTCAGTACAAATCTCACTGTGAGCCACGTATAGCTGTAAACCTCATCACACAGTGATCATGCTGGGTGGACGCGCTGCCCCTTCCCAGGTTTCTAAAGAGGGAAGACATCAACAGAAGATAAAATTGGTTCAATGTGTATTGTGCGCAGCTCAAGAACAGAAAAGCAAGATTTTGTTCAAGTGGGAATTATGTTTGGGGGAATGGTTTTAATTATCAATCATTTACAAAATAAAACAGCACTCACAATCTATAGCACACTGTTACCAGCATTCAAGCCACAGTCTTTTATTTTATTTTCTTTGCATAGTTTTGAGTTGGGTTTTGTTTGTCATACAGTTATCAAATTGTATATATTAACTTTTTAAAAACTTTTTCAAACCTTCCTGTATCTACTTTAAATGCAACCGAGTGGATGTAATATAACCATTTCTCTTTTACATAGCACTTGAATTAACATCTAATTCTGATGGGTTTCAATACCAAGAGTTACACAGGCAAATAAATAAATAAATAATATGTAGAAAGCTAAATCTAAGGATATATTGCATAAAACAAATGCTCTCACCATAAAATTTCACTGTTTTCTAGGAAAGGAGTAAATTAAACACATTCTCTTGTGTCTGCAATCTACTCTTTTGTGCTCGATCATTCGGCAGGCCTTGCTCTGAGACCTACGAAGTTTCTTTACAGCGTTCGTCTTTTCTACAGCGGCACCTAGCGGTGCAACTGAGTTATACCACGTCGGAAAAACTAGTTCCAATTGCCAGCTCACAGACATGTTAAAATAAGCAGCTGGGATCCTGCTAAAATCTGAATTCTGATTTACAGCTTTCCAACAGCCTTCTCTGGCTTGACTCACACTAGAATCACCCCGATGCCTGGTGATGAAGGCTGTGATAAAGCACCCCTGCATCATTCGGCTGTGTAGCCGAAGTTGAGAGCCACAGCGCCACGTAAGCCACATCGTAATAAGGCCTATCATTTGTTAAACAAAGGGGACTTGTGATTGTCTTTTTCTCTCCCATAGCTTACTTTGTAGGTACCATGGTCAGTCTTGACTGTCAACCTGACTGTACTGAGACATGCTAGGAGCAAGCACTACTCAGGCTTTGTCAGTGAAGACATTTCCCGAAGAGGTTAAATAAGGAAGAAGACCTTCCCCGCAAGTGGGATGTGGGCGGCATCTTCCCACAGGCTGTAGGTGCAGACAGAATAAGAGGAAGAAAAGAAAAAAGCCGGCAAGCACACACCCTGTCCCCACCTCTTACTTTACCTGCTACGGTGCTACCCATCACTTCCCCATTCATGGATGCCATGAAATGAACCCTCTCCCATTCATGGACGCTATGATATGAACCCTCCCCCATTCATGGACGCCATGCTATGAACCCTCCCCCATTCATGGACGCCATGCTATGAACTCTCCCCCATTCATGGACCCCATGATATGAACCCTCCCCCATTCATGGACGCCATGCTATGAACCTTCCCCCATTCATGGACGCCATGCTATGAACCCTCCCCCATTCATGGACGCCATGCTATGAACTCTCCCCCATTCATGGACCCCATGATATGAACCCTCCCCCATTCATGGATCCCATGCTATGAACCCTCCCCCATTCACGGACGCCATGATATGAACCTTCCCCCATTCATGGATGCCATGAAATGAACCCTCCCCCACTCATGGATGTCATAATATAAAGAGCTCTGCTCTGCTTTATCCTTCTTTCTGTGA